GAGAGAGAGAGAGAGAAAGAGTATGTGTCCAGTGGCATATCATGTCAGCATAAGGGAGACAGAATGGTTAATTTGACATTAATTTATCTACACCTTTCAGTTTAAAAGAATATATACAAATTTTACAAGTTAGTCTTGTGATCGACTCCATTAATTGTTGTTAAAACACATGTTATAGGGCCCCAACCTAATTCAGTGTCTTCATATTATGATCAACTATTACAACTTGGTGGTGTATTTAAAAACTAACCAAACAAAGATCATTTCCAGCAAAGCTTTATTAAGGGGCGGACTGTGTCTTGGACTGTTTTGTCTTGGATTTGTCTTTTTGGTGGACTGACACAGGTGTTAACAACAGTCAAGATTCAAAATGTCCTGAGTAGGTATGAATAGATTCTAAAATTATTTGTTTTGTATAAAAGTAATATCTAATGCATGTAAATAGCCTAATATCTTATAAATATGTGTAGGGAAATAACTAGACACTACATATACAGTACATTAACTGAAAGTGATGCAAAACAGACAAGAACCACATTTAATTATAGCTAATGTCATATTTATCATTAAATCACATTAAGTGGTATTGTATAGTGTAACAAAATGTAAATCACACACTGAATATTTAGCATAGCTGGCAACTAAAGAAATGAATGCTGTGTATGAAACAATAACAGGTAGTACTTGCATCCAGCACAGTATGCGTGGGGTGTGTAGTGCTTAAGTTAGTCTGTCTGGGTGGCAGATGTGGTAGGAGAGTTAGCGGGTGGTGGGCAGTGCTCAGACAGGTGATGGCTCCAGGGACAAAACGGTTCCTGAATCTCAATCTGCAGACAAAGATGAGGTAGCAGGAGTGGGTTGGGTCTGTAGAAATGTTTATGGCTTTTAAAATGTTGTAGCTGTCCTTGATGTCTTGAGCCTGTGATCTCTTGATACAATGGGCAATTTGTATTTAGCAGAAGAAATACAAGCACCCAGTCAAAGCAACATAATAAAGGCATGGTTCACTACAAACTCCAGTAACCTAGAAATTAAATCTATGTTGGACAATTCTGCACCTTACGATTTACCTTTCAACAAACATTCAATGCTTTATTCATACTTGTTAAGATATTCATTTGTATGGTGGAGTACAAAACACACACAAGTCAGCACATTAACCAAGGATGGAGACTCTGTAGTGAGTTGATCAGATAGTCGTGACTTCAGGTTCCTCCTGTCCTGGGTGACAGTGCCAATTAAGTCCACTTAAAACTGAGCCAGCATACTGGAAGCGACACATTTCGCACCACATTTGTAGTTTCACGCATCAAAATCAAGCATAAGCCCAGTAGGTTCACACTTCACTAGCTGAGAATTTTTTCAAGTCTTTCAGTGGCTGATTCAAATGAACTGCAGGCTTCCACGCAACCTTTCATAACAACTTGGCCATCTTTACAGGAGACATCTCACCACATGCAAAGGCAAAAATGTGTAGAAAGTTACAAATTTCAGTTTAAAACAGGGCTTCTTCTGGACTAACATAGAAGGAGAAATCCACCATAGCAGATGCAGAAATACTAACTCATTTATCAGTGGCAGACTCAATAAACAGAGTTCAAGACATTTTACTTCTGATTAAAGAGGCATTCCATCTAATTTATTCATTTGGATAGGTTTACTCCTAATGGGGGAGTACAATTTTTCAAAGTTTTGGGCTCGGACTCTACTCTCTAATCAAATTATTATCAAAAAGCCTGTGTTGCAAACTATGGGCAGGAACTTGAAAGATGTGGGAGTTTCTCAGCCAGGGAGGGTTTCGCGAAGCATGTTACCAAGCTGCAGTATGGGAACTGTAGGATCTGGCTTGTTTGTGCCCATAGTAGGGACTAAAGGTCAGGAGCCTCTGCTGCATCAATTCTGACCATTTGTCTTCTTCTTCTTCGTCTTCTTCTTCTTCTTCTTCTTCTTCTTCTTTTAAAA